CCCAAGGGATGAGGATTGTCTATGGGTAGAGACGCTGAGAGATATGGCGCAGAATAGAAGTCAGTGGCGCGAATGCTGTACGATCTGTCTATCGAAATCCCGTGCCCATTAAGAAAAACGAAACATCAAACAACAAAAAAATTGCAAAAGGTGTACGGTGAAACACACAAAAAATTCTGTTATCTTGTATTTTCTATGTTTAACTGTCTCACTCACTTTTCCCCATGTTCTGTATCCTAATCCACCTATCCCCTTCACTGTCATTGTTGTTGCGTTGGCACCATGCTTGTTTTCAAGCCGGTGGTAAATATAAAATACATCAGATTTGCGGTCTATCGGGATGATGGTGGTTTCCCAATAAGCTCAGGAATTACATCATCCACACGAACACTTTCAGATCAATTCAACCCCTTTTCTTTTCGTTGCAAAAGTTTGTAATTACTTGCTTTTCGTCCCATTGATGTCTGTACCCATTGAAATTCATTATCATACCACGAAATGCAATAAAAGAAACTGCTAAAAGATGCCCCACTGACAATGCATCATGCTCACTAAGTAAGAATGCGTTAGTTGGTTCGGAAAGAAGTCTGTTTTAAGATATCGGAGAACAAAGAGAACTGCATTTTTCAGTGCACCATTTTCTGGCATTCTGCTCGGATAGGAAATGACAACAAAAACGCCACTGCTGTCGATTCGCTGCCATATCTTTCATTAATTCCAGCCAACAAGTTATAGGGTATTTTGGACTCAGACCTTGAAGACGGGATACACCTACTGTAACTAATTTCTCCATGCATTTCTTCAAACCTGGTTTCCATATCGTCTGTTGATCTCCACGGGATCTTCTGCATCTTTGATCAGTAATTAAAATTAAGGCGTGGTGTGATAGGTGCCAGCTAGCCATACGCAATACGTATCCTAACTGACGACGCCCACTAATCTGAATTGAATTATGATAGTGGAGTGGATATGATATTAGAGTCATTTCGAAATACACGATGGTTCACCTCAGCATTGTTAGCCTGCTCACTCCATCCAACTCGCGTAAACATAGAAAGTTCAAGAGCTCCAGTCGACTAGTGTCTACAACATGCAAACATAAGGTTCCACAACCGCAAAAGGGAGCTTTCCACACAGTGACGTGGTATATACACGAACATTTAGGTTCAAGGAAACGTCACTTTGGGGTCTTTTCGAGTTCCCGCTGCAAGGGCAAAACATCCAGGAACTCTGTCCACCTCAGTCAAACGCACTGAGATTTCAAAGAACTGTAACTGTGAAGTTGGAATAGTTTTTTCTAATCTGCCGGATGTCCTTGTCCGTCTATTTTCATTGTTCTGTTTCACTATCGGGACCCTCATCCATTTTGCATCCCCCCCCCGCATGGGATCAGTTTCATTCACTCACAAAATGCATTGCGTTTGTTTATTTCGCGAACAATTCACAAACTGTTCCACTGGTTGTATGCCCCACTCTACCCCTGTCGCACTCCCGTTCGGTTCGTTTCTTTCATTCAGCGGCACGTGGAAGATTTTCTCGGGCAATGAATTGGGCGCGCTTTTCGGTTGGTGGATTTGGTCGAACTGGCGCAAACGGAACCCGAACGCAGATCGTAAGCACATTCAAATCTAACGTCACATGTGACCCCAATTGTAGAGGTTTTCAGTTTCAAGCTGGCATGTTTCAGACATCATACTGCAAGAATGCAAGTCGGTTTGAGATGTGTTGGGTACGGACGATGTAGACGTAAAGGAACAGGCACTCAAAAGAATAGGGTGGAAAGTACAAATTGTCACCTTGTGACGACATTCACCGATGCTTTTCGGTGGCTGTTTCCTCACGATGACATTGACTGCACTATACAGAATACGTCTGAAGTAGACTCATTCGTATCGTGCTACACTTTTGCGGCAATTGATGTTTCCTAAAGAGAAATTAAATGAATCAAAAAGATGAAAGGTAGCTTCAACAACAACATGGTTGCACAAAAGCCGAT